TGTGTATATATATATACTTAAATATTTTATTTATTTATTTGAGAGGCAGAGTTACAGAGAGAGGGAGAGATAGAGAGGTCTTCCATCTGCTGGTTACTCCCCAAATGGCTACAATGGCCAGAACTGCACCAATCTGAAGCCAGGAGCCAGGAACTTCTTCCCGGTCTCCCACGTGGGTGCAGGGGCCCAAGGACTTGGGGCATCTTCTACTGCTTTCCCAGGCCATAGCAGAGAGCTGGATCAGAAGTCGAGTAGCCAGGACTTGAACCAGTGCCCATATGGGATGCCAGCACTGCAGGTGGAGGATTAACCTACTGCACCACAGTGCCAGCTCTGAAGAATGTATTTTTTATTTAAGTCGATTTTTTATTAACAAAGGGCCTGTAGTAGGCAGCGCTCATCACTGTAACTTAACATCTGAGACAAGTAACATATGAAGGGAAGGTGTTATTTTGGCTCGTGGTTTTGGAGGTTCACAGTCCACGGTCAGGTGGGCACCCCTGGTTCAGCATGTGGTATGATGCTGTCACTGGCCGAGTCCCGAGGAGGAGCAGACCATCACATCACAAGAGTACACACGAAACAAGGAGCGCACAGTGCGCCAGGCAGTAGAGGGAGTGGCTAGTGCCCACTCAGCTTTTACACCCACTTCTCAAGAACCGCCTTCCCAGGGCACACCCCCAGTGGCCTAAGGACCTCCCGCTGGGCCCACCTCCTCGACACAACTGGATTCAGTTTCCGCCCTCTGAGGACCATCAAAGCAGGCACGAGTTCAGGGGTCATATCCTATTCAAGCCATAGCAACAGCAAAAGCCAACAAAGATGGGATTTGCACTACAGAGTGTGATTACATGAGCCCTCTGCATCTGAGCTTTAATTATTATTATTATTTTTTTTGACAGGCAGAGTGGACAGTGAGAGAGACAGACAGAGAGAAAGATCTTCCTTTGGCGTTGGTTCACCCTCCAATGGCCACCGTGGCCGGCGCGCTATGGCTGGCGCACCGCGCCGATCCAATGGCAGGAGCCAGGTACTTCTCCTGGTCTCCCATGCGGGTGCAGGGCCCAAGCACCTGGGCCATCCTCCACTGCACTCCCTGGCCACAGCAGAGAGCTGGACAGGAAGAGGGGTAACTGGGACAGAATCCGGCGCCCCGACCGGGACTACAACCCGGTGTGCCAGCCGCAGCAGGCGGAGGATTAGCCTAGTGAGCCGCGGCGCCGGCCTGTCTGAGCTTTAATTATTAAAAAAATAATTTTTTTCCATTCACCTCTGTTTGTCTTTATTTATTTATTTATTTGACAGGTAAAGATATAGACAGTGAGAGAGAGCGACAGAGAGAAAGGTCTTCCTTCCATTGTTTCACCCCCCAAATGGATGCCATGGCCAGCGCTGTGCCTACCCGAAGCCAGGAGCCAGGTGCTTCTTTCTGGTCTCCCACGTGGGTGCAGGGCCCAAGCACTTGGGCCATCCTCCACTGCACTCCCGGGCCACAGCAGAGAGCTGGGACTAGAACCCGGCACCCATATGGGATGCCGGCGCCGCAGGTAGAGGATTAACTAAGTGAGCCACGGTGCCGGCCCCGACCTCTGTTTGTCTTAAACACTTTGACATTGTACTTCTAATCTTACACGGTGCTGAAATTAAAGTCTTCCTGTTATCTAAGGTACTCAGGCTTAGGGGTTTAACCTATTAAATTAGCTTTTCAAAAAGAGCTCAGAGCATGGGCAGAATCCACGACAAGTTCTGTTTTACATAATTGTGTGGATTGCTATCTTGTGAGCATGACATGTTACTTAGAAAAGGCAAGAGAGCACCAAAAAAAAAAAAAAAAAAAAAAAAAACAAAACAAAACCACCAGGCACCTACAAAAAATAACCTCCCAGAGACAGCAAAGAGGTAAATAAAATTGTGGCACACAAAGCAGTATTCAGACAATGCCAAAGAACTGCTCAAAACAATAAATATTTCAGGCCCTGGGATATTCGGGTGATGTGGCTCTTAATGACCAACCTGACTGGTTCCACTCTGCACTAATAAAGAGGGACTCATCCGGTCATTGTCACATCGCAGAAATAATTCTATACTCGAAGCTGCTCTGAGCTGACTGTTGTTGCTATCACAAGGAAAGCCCAGAATTCACCCCGAGTGTCTTCTGGATATGAAAAAGTCACACGTGTTCATTTACTTCGGGATAAAATGTCAGTGTTTCTCCCACAATGAGAACTTCAGCAGTGCCTTCCCAGCGTGAAGCCACGTGTTATCACGGCATAGATTCTGACCGTGTACAGATTCTCACGGAAGCACCACTAAAGACTATGTTTTATGTTTACGTGACGTGACGCCTGTTTCCAGAGATGGTGTGAACGGATCGTTTAGCTGATGACTAGAGTGAAAGAAATACGGAAGCTTGCTTTGTAACATCCATTACATGATGCCGGTTTACCGCATAGAGCCCCTGATCACCTCCCACCTCGTGGGCGTCAAGGCCGACCCCAGCCCTGTGCTCACGTTTGCATAACAAGGCTTTTACCAGAGAGAGGAATGACAGAGTGGGTGAAAAATTCCCAGGTGGGTCCTTTTATGTATTTATTAAGATAAGTTTCCTGAGGAGTGGGACCAGGAATGAGACACTGTTAATTTAGGATGTTCAAAATATACAAAAATGCAACAAAGCTTATACAACTTAAACATCGCCAAGGTCAGATTTTTGCTTTGAATGGCTAATACAGTCAAGATAAATTAGCGATTTGTTTTTACGAATGATAATTTAAAGCACAAAATGAAGTCTAGGTTTAAAAGCAGTTCTTGGAATTGTCATAAATATTTGATGCCTATTGGCTGAGTAGTAATACAAAGATCCAGGCTGCTGGAGTTGATGCTTACCTGTTTTGACTCATACTAACTTCTTACATCTTGCCAAGATAAACTATCTTTTTAAAAAGTGCCCTGTACACTGGGTAGTTATAAACTCAAGACATGTTTGCTTCTCCTGGAATTTGAGAATTCAAATGAGAATATTTTTATCGTATCATAAAACATTGCTGTCTCAAAGTGAGCTTCCAGGACCCCTTACACTTCTCTGAGCTTTTCAAATTCACCATTTGATAGGGGTAGGTCGAGTGTAAAGGTTTGAGCCTTTGGCAAAGATCTTAGCTATCTGGAGAGAGAAAGAAGCATACTGAAACTCTTCTGGGAAGCAAATAATGACGAGTAACAAACTGAATCCAACAGCCATAAGCAGAAAAAATAGAAAAATTATGATTGTTCAGAAAATGGCAATTTTGGCATAAATATCTGTAGAGCCACGGTGGGCCATAAGTGTGCTGTAGGTACGCAGAAGTGCAATGCAAATGCAGAGTTGTATCAGGATGTGCTCCAGAGAAGATGAAGGTGAATCTGCTGAAGTCAAGCACACGAAACCGTCTTTGCCAAAGTTCCAGGCAGTCCCAGGAGAGCGCGAGAGCAGTGGTTAAGCTCACCAAGACAGTTGTATCTTTCATCATATAGAAAGACATCTCTGACCTGAAACTCTGCTTTTAAAATTACCGGGCAGAGTTCAGAAGGCAAATGCTTGTTAAAGGCAGGAGAGGGGTAGTTTTCCTTTTGCATTAAGGCAGCCTTTCAAATGTAGCACCCAAAGTGTAGCAGCAAATATCTAGTTCACATCATCTCCTCAGCTGTCATGTGGGTAGAAAAACAAACCAGGTTCTTCATTCTCTGTGTCTTTCCTGGAATAAAATCCTCTAGTGTCTCGAGAGAACGGAGGATTCCCAATCAGCTAGATCCCTTGAAAGGCCAGAATTAGGATGGGGATTAAATGGAGATTGGTTTTCCATGAGTGGGAGTGGCCACTCATTGCTTTTGGCACCAGGGGGGCCAACAGATATTGTAAAGGATGCTGTCTCTGATGGGCTGGCCCCGGGCTCTTGGAGTTGCTGTGTTGTGAGGACGTGAGACTTCTCCTAGTCCCCTGTGATGAGTGATCCCTGCTGCCAGCAGGTGTTTCTTATTCTCTTCTGTTTGTTACAAATAACCTTAAAGCCAGGTGAGACATAGATGTGTAACAGATGACCCCCTCCCCGCCCACACACCCACCTGCACATACTCCCTATCTACCTATCACATGCAAGGAAAGGGTGGCGAAACCAGAATGAGCTTTGGGAAAACGATACAACGGAGGTGATTCTAGCTGAGAAGGAAAATGCTTGTTCTTTCATTGAAAACATCTAATGCCTCCGAGAAGTTGGAAGGGTGGCAGGGCCCGGCACAGTCAGGGTCCCTAAGTCACCTTAGTACACTTCCTCACCACGGGGACTGCTCTCCTGTGTCTTCATGGCAGATAGGGACGAGCTGACCCACCCCAGGGATGGTGTGCACATTGAAACGCTTGCTTTGCTTGCCATCTTTCCCATGATAGAATTCTCTAGAGAAAAGTCCCTGCTCCGAGTCGTTGACCTGCCAGAGACGCTGATCATCGGAAGAAATGACCCAGAGCAAGGCAGGTAGGAAGGTGAGCCAGAAGGAAACCATAGATGAACCCAGCCTCCTGATCTAAACCCTAAGGAATGGAGCAGACAGGCGCTGAGGATGTGGGGCGTGTGGCCAGGGCAAGCACAGTCAGCTAGGAGTTGGCTCTGGGCAGGGAACGCCTGTTGAGCACAAGTGAGCGCATCACGCGGCTCCTCCAGCCTCGGAGGCAGCAGTGGACGGCAGCCAGGTCTTTTCCCGGAGCTCCTCGGCAGCACGTTCTTCCAAGTGCAGGCCAGGCCATCCCTGGGAAGAGTGGGTGTCGGAAGCACACAGAGACAGGCTCTCGTCGTGTCTACGCCGATTCGCAATTAATTCGATCTGTAGCCTTCCCATCCTCTGTCGGCAGGCCTGGCGGGTTCCCTCAGGGGCTGCTTCTCTCGGAAAACGGAGCCCCCTTCCGTTTCAGGGTTCACTGTCGCTGTAGAAGAAACAGAACAACAGCCTACTTCCAAGAACCCACCGGGGCGGGAGGGGGGGGCGGTCACTCCACGGTCAAGGTGACTCAGGAGAGTATCAGCAGGCCCCTGCCTGCAACCTCTGACCCAAAGGTCAGTTAAGAGTTTTGCATTTGATCCCCGAGGAGGAAATCCATAGGAGCCCAGGTGTAACCCCCCACACCCCCCCGCACTGAGGCTCATCTCCCCCCTCACCCCCAGTGCTGATGTGGCGAGAAGCAGGTGGAGTGGAGAGCTCCCCCTTTAATTAAATCTAATCCCACTCTCTGAATAGACGCCACGCAGCCTTTGCATTGTTTTCCCTTGTGTTATTTTCCCCCAAGAGTATGTGGTGCTGGCAGGTTTTAAATCCCCTGTTTTCTTCATACCCACACAGGACCTGGGGGTGCCTTCCTAGTGTCATTTAGAATTCAATCCTCAGGTGTCTTGGGGTGTGAGCAGACATAAATTACAGACATGGTGTTTGCACATGACCGTGCTGTTGGCTAATTCGCGCTTTTGTTTCTAACTTGGCTATCTTAGCCAAATATCTGGCTGTGCAGGTTCCCACCCCCACCCCCACCCCCGCCGTGGGCCCATAGCTCCGCCCTTTTTTTCTGTCTCCTGGAAAGCAGGCTGCACTTGCCTTCCTCCCACTTCTGACTTCTGTGCCCCCTTGATGCAAACTCCAGCATGTCTCTCTCTGAAGTGGCCTCTTTGCCCAGGCTGGGGCTTGCACGGTGATCAGCCACAGACGTAGGTGCCCTCCGCTCGTGCGTGGGGCACCATGCAGCGGGCAGTGTTCCTTCCAGCTCCCTCCATGCCCTCCCGGTCAGTGAAGGGCTGTGCACCGCTACAGAGGACTTTGAAGCAACCCAGACAGACAGACGTGGAGACAGGCAGATGGACTGACTGATCTGCAGACAGATGTGTTCACACAAGGGGAATGGAGATGAGTGTAGCAGTGGGTAGGTGGGAAGAAGCTCAGATCAGGAGGGGTGAACAATAGGAACAGAAGGGGAGGGGAGAACCTGACTTGAGATGGGGAAGGGAGGGAAAGCCAATCCCTAGAGCAAATGGAAACCGGGGGCAGGTGTCTGAGGCAGTGGTTAAGATGCAGCTTGGGACGCCTGCAACCCTATGAGAGGGTCTAGGTTCGAGTCCCAGCTGTGTTCCCAAATCCAGCTTCCCGCTAATGTGCACCTAGCTTGCGAGTCAGTGGTGATGGTCAAGTACTTGGGCCCCTGCCACTCTTGTGGGAGACCTGGGTGGAATTTCTGGCTGCTGGCTTCAGCCTAGCTGGGCTCCACCTGCCTTGGGCATTTGAGGAGTCAACCAGCAGATGGGAGCACTCTCTCTTTCAAAATAAATAAAATAAGAAAATAAAAGTTATTTTTGAAGTGGAAATTAAGCAATGTTTGTACCTGAAGAGTGGACGTTCACCATTCCCTTCCTTTCCCTTCCGTAGCCCTGGCCGACTCGGCCACGGGGCCGGGAGATTGCCTTCGTTGGGAACGGTGTCCTAAGCAGCTGGGCTTTCTAAGACCTACGAGTGCAGCCGCGCAGGCCACAGGCCTGCTGCGTGTGCCCCTTCTGCGGCCTTCTCTTGAAACCCCAGCCGCTTCTGCCGAGGCCCATGAAGCCGCACAGCAGTGGGCAGAACTCGCTTCTCTGCTCCCCGCGGACGAGTGTCCAGCCGTTGTAACTGGAGTGATTTTTAAGACGAACGATTATAAAACCAGCCCATAGTCATCGCTGAAAAACTAGAAAATCCAAACAAGACAGGGCAAAAATGCCGGTAATCTCACTACAGCTAATGCTCTGGGATTTAATTTCCCTAAAGGCAGATGGTTCTGTAATCTGCTTCTCTGGGGGTCATCCACATGTGAGTATCTTTGTCTCCTAATAAATGTACAATATTGGGGCTAGTGTTGTGGTGTAGCGGGTAGAGCCGCCCACTGTGCCGGCATCCCACATGGGCGCCAGTTCGAGTCCCGGCTGCTCCACTTCCGATTCCGCTCTCTGCTATGGCCTGGGAAAGCAGTGGAAGATGGCCCAAGTGCTTGGGCCCCTGCACCCGCGTGGGAGACCCAGAAGAAGCTCCTGGCTCCTGGCTTCGGATCAGTGTAGCTCCGTTCATGGCAGCCAATTGGGGAGTGAACCAGCGGATGGAAGACCTCTCTCTCTCTCTCTCTCTCTCTCTGCCTCTCCTCTCTGTGTGTAACTTTCAAATAAATAAATCTTTAAAAAATAAATGTACAATATATATTAGTTGCTACATAGCACCCCATTGTCTCATTAGATTAAAAAAAACTTGGGCTCTGGTGTTGTGGCACAGGAGGTTAACCCATTGCCTGCGACGCTGGCACCCTCATGACTGCCAGTCCAAGCCCCAGCTGCTCCTTTCCTGATCCCACTTGCTGCTAATGCACCTGGAAAAGCAGCGGAAGATGATTCAAGTGCCTGGGCCCCTGCACCCATGCCAAGTACTTGGGGCGTCTTCTGCTGCCTTCCCAGCATGCACATCAGAGGAACCTGGACAGGAAGTGGAGCAGCCAGGACTCAAAGCAGGTTCTCCAGTATGGAATGCAGGTATCCCAAGTGAGGTCTGCAGCACTGAGCCAAAGGCTGCCCCTTCCTGGGCTTTTGCTTCTCTTATTTACTTTTTTTTAGATTTCTTCATTTTATTTGAAAGGCACAGTGTCAGAGAGAGGCAGAAACAGAGAGAGATCTTTTACTTGCCGGTTCACCTCCCGGGTGGCCACAGCCACCAGTGCCGGGCCAGGAGCTTCATCCGGGTCTGCCATGTGGGTGGCAGGGGCCCAAGCCCTGGGGCTATCCTCTGCTGCTTTACCCAGGCCATTAGCAGGGAGCTGGATCGGAGCGGCTGGGACACGAACGGTGGCCACATGGAGTGCAGGTGTTTCAGGTGGCAGCTTGACCTGCTGTGGCACACTGCTGGCCCATTTTATTTCCTTTTTGAGTACTAAGAAGAATAAATATTTTGAAGGTTTAGTTGATAATGTCAGTGTCTTCTCTTGCTGAATTGCATCCAGACCATGGCTGCTCATATTTAAAATGAGGCCATGATCTTTGTCTTGGATATTAAGGATAATCATTTTTTGCTCATCATACAGAGTGAAAAAAGCTTTCCACTGGTGTGTCATTTTCCCTCTACTATTATCCATTATGCCTTCTGAAGTACACAAATGCTGAGTTTTTAATGTAATTAAATATGGCATCCCATATGGGCACCAGTTCAAGTCCCGGCTGCTCCACTTCCCATCCAGCTCTCTGCTATGGCCTGGGAAAGCAGTAGAAGATGGCCCAAGTCCTTGGGCCCCTGCACCCATGTGGGAGACCCGCAAGAAGCTCCTGGCTTCTGGCTTCAGATCAGCACAGCTCTGGCCATTGCGGCCAACTAGGGAGTGAAGCAGTGGATGGAAGACCTCTCTCTCTCTCTCTCTCTCTGCGTAACTCTTTCAAGCAAATAAATAAATCTAAAAAAAAAAAAAGGAAAAAGAAAATGATGATTTTTACACTGGGGAGTCTTTCCCGCAGGAGCACACCATGCCTCTCCCTTTGTTCAAATGTTTATGTCCCTCAATAAGAATCTGAACATTTTCGTTTGATAGGGTCCTGTGCGTTTGTAGGGTTAAACTGATCTCGGCTTAGCTCCCGTTCTGTGCTGCTTTTAATGATAGATTCCTGTTGGTACGTGCTGACAAGCAGCCTTTTTAGCATAATAGATAAGAGCACGGGTCGGCCAGATTCTGAATCAGAGCTCAGGCACTTCCTGGCTGTAGGGTGTTAGGAAAGCTAGCCATTCAAGCCCTGGTTTCCTCACCATAGGAGAGACATCAGACCCCCGTGGGGGAGACCAACTCTCCCTGGTGGCCATGGTCAGCCTGCAGACTTCCCTGTTTCCTGTGTCCCTTGCTGTCTTCGAAGCTGTTGATCATCTCTGCGAAATGAGCAGATAAGCCCAGACAGCTTTAACTTTGGCAAATCCTGGAATTCCCTGTTAAAAAAATACCTTGGCAAACGGCCACAGAATTGCAGCGAACGAACAAGAAGTGGTTCGGCTTCCAAGCTTCGTGGTGGCTGGCCTCCGTGTGAACGCCTGTGGTTTTCACCACTTCTTTGAGCCACCGACAGGAATCAGTAATTTTCCCAGGAGTGTCCTACACTATGGAACACCTTTCCCCAAAGCCTGCATGCTAACAGGCTGACAAACCGAAAATGAGTGGAATTGATTAAACAAGCATCACCCTGCTACTATCTTTAAGGAGGCATCTAATTGGTGAGCTGTGCGCTCAATGAGGACAGAGGCGACCCCAACTTCTGTCGTGGCATGACCAGCCACTCCTCCAGCCTGTCTGTCTCGTATGCCCCCAGCCACTAGCCTTCTCTCCAAGGGATGTCAATAAATCTGCCCAGAGCCTTGCTCCTGTGAGGACGCTCTCTTAACTCGGTTTTGGGTGAGCGCAGAGTTCGGCTCATTCAGCTCAGCACAAACTCACGGGACAATTAGAATGGAACAATTAGAATAGGCTGCCTTTCTTATCATTCACACAGGTCAGAGGTCCCTTCTTCCTGCAACACGGCTGGCCTGGGGGGCGGAGTGGGGAGGGGGGGATGCAGAGGCCACACGTTGAGCCAATGAGGCAGCCCAGCCTAGGATTAATTCAAGACACACAGATCACACCCACGGCACAGGCGTCATCAACGTTCAAACAACACGCTGGGTTTTTAGGTTTTGTACATCTTTCGTTACCATGTGCACATCCATACACACTCACAACTACGCACACACATACCATGCACATACCTGCATTTTAGCACTGTTACTTGAGGCTAAGGGGGAGAAGGTGTTGGACCTTTTGGGAAATGTTTTCATAAGTTGTTATCTGACAGTTAGAATTGCTTGCGAAGTTTTCATTTGGTATTAAGTTATTGACAGTAAGTGATCTGGGAAGCCTGACTTGTTTCCATGTTTCTCTGTTCTCTTCAAGATGGGAAACTGGCTCTACTCTGAAGGGCTCTCCAGGATGTTCAGTTTGATCTTTAGACCCGTATGAAAGGGATGGCTGGGGTTGGCGCTGTGGTGTAGCAGGTAAAGCTGCCGCCTACAGTGCCAGCATCCCATATGGGCACCAGTTCGAGTCCTGGCTGCTCCACTCCCAATGCAGCTCTCTGCTGTGGCCTGGGAAAGCAGTGGAAGATGGCTGATTTGAAGTACATTGGAAGTGACTTCTAAGAGACTAGAAAGGAAGAGAGCAAAGAGACACATAAGGATTGACTGCAAGTAGTCGTGGAGATGGGCTTGACAGACCCCTCCAGAAAAGCCCACCAAGAAAATCACTGTTGTCTGAGGACTGATAGTTGGGTCTCGGCTCTGAGTGCTCTGACGAGGGACACAGCACACGCCAGGTCCCTCCGCGTGTCAGCTGGTGCCTGGTGCCAGCTGCCCTTCCTGTGGCTGTGTGTCTTTCATTTATATTAAAATGTCTCTCTTGTGTTAACTAACTGATGAAAGACAATGAAACTGCAGTATTAAAAGAAACTCTTTTCGATATGGCATAGTGGGTAAAGCTGCTGCCTGCAGTGCCGGCATCCCATACAGGCGCTGGTTCAAAACCCGGCTGCTCCACTTCAGATCCAGCTCTCTGCTATGGCCTGGGAGAGCAGTAGAAAGTCCTTGGGTCCCTGCACCCATGTGGGAGACCTGGAAGAAGCTCTTGGCTCCTGGCTTCAGATCAGCTCAGCTCCTGCCGTTGCAGCCATCTGGGGAGTGAACCAGTGGATGGAAGACTTCTCTCTCTCTCTGTCTCTACCTCTCTGTAACTCTGCCTTCCAAATAAAGAAATTAATTAAAAAAAAGAAAGAAACTCTTTTCTAGATGGTGCTTTCTCACAAACCTGCTCTGCAAACCTGATCATCACTTAGCCCCTCCAAACCCCAGACATAGAGGCATTAGTAGTTCTTAAGCAGCTTCGTGACACCGTGCAGACGGCACTCAGACATGTGAGGTGCTCCATCTATATCTTCTGAAAAATGCCATTGTGACATAAAGTCACCTCACTGGTCAACAGGGACAAAGAGAAAGAACTTTGTTATTGGAGTTTTTGCAGTGTCTCTGGTTCTCCCTCCAAGTCTGCAGGAGGCTTTCTGAGAAGGAAACTAAGTATAAATGCCTCTAGAAGGGGGAGAGGCTGGCTGGGTTCTCTCTCTCTCTCTCTCTCTCTTAAAGATTGATTTATTTATTTGAAAGGCAGAGTTACAGAGAGGCAGAAGCAGAGAGAGAGAGAGAAAGAGAGAGAGAGAGAGATCTTCCATCCGCTGGTTCACTCCCCAGATGGCCACAGTGGCTGGAGCTGGACCGGTCCAAAGCCAGGAGCCAGAAGCTTCTTCCAGGTCGGTCTCCCACGTGGGTGCAGGGCCCTAAGGACTTAGGCCATCTCCTACTGCTTTCCCAGGCCACAGCAGAGAGCTGGATCGGAAGTGGACCAGGCAGGACTTGAACCGGTGCCCATATGGGATGCCAGTACTGCATGGAGTGGCTTTACTCGCTATGCCACAGCGCCGGCCCCCCTTTCTCCTTTTGCTACTATACAATGGCTCTGTGGAGGGCCCATGAGGGTGGGGTGCATGGCGGTAGTGCATTTTCCATAGGGAAATGTAACTACAATAAAGCCACCGGGATGAAGCAGGCTGGAGGCTGTCACCACCGGCCAGCAGTGCCCACCCATGTGGGCCACAGACTTCTCTTCCCGCACAGGTGGACCCCATCCCCTCGAGCAAAGCCATGCACAGCAGGTATGAAGTACAGAAAACAAGAACAGACAACTCTCTCTTCCCCAGCACCTCCTGTGTTGTCTTTTCCTATTGATTTTTTTTAAAGCATTAGAATCATACTGTAAATTTCCCATGGCATTTGTATTGTCCTTCGTAAAATCCTGGACCAAAGTTTAGATTCCACAGCTCAAGAATGAGGAGGGGGCCAGCGCCGCGGCTCACTAGGCTAATCCTCCACCTTGCGGCGCCAGCACCCCGGTTTTAGTCCTGGTCGGGGTGCCGGATTCTGTCCCGGTTGCCCCTCTTCCAGTCTAGCTCATTGCTGTGGCCCAGGAGTGCAGTGGAGGATGGCCCAAGTGCTTGGGCCCTGCACCCACATGGGAGACCAGGAAAAGCACCTGGCTCCTGGCTTCAGATCAGTGTGGTGCGCCGGCTGCGCAGCTGACTGCAGCGGCCATTGGGGGGTGAACCAACGGTAAAAGGAAGACATTTCTCCCTGTCTCTCTCTCTCTCACTGTCCACTCTGCCTGTCAAAAAAAAAAAAAGAAAAGAAAAAAAAAAGAATGAGGAGGGGACAAGCGCTGGCCAATGGGGAAGAGGGGGGAAGGGCAGGTGGGGAGGGGGCGGCGGGCGTGGCCCGCAGTGTGCTGCAGGGTAAGCATTGGGATGGCGCCTTTTGCCCAGAAGCACCGCACACTTGAGAGATGACTGAGCGCCCGCCCCACTCAGGAATGGCGTCGCAGTAACAGGGGAAGCGGGACTGTGAGTGGAGTCCAGATGTCTTAGGGGTCTCCCTCTAAGCCCTATCTTCAGGACCCTTTATTTTCTGCAGCGTTCAGTGCACCTGTCATTGCTGACAGCATGGAGGAAGGGTGACTCAGAGGCAAATGTCACCAGGGGAGCTTGGGGCCACGTGACGTGCTCAGTGTAGGCTTATTGATCATAGCCGGTGAACCACGCTGGTGGGGGCTGCTGATAGTGACGGAGGGTGCGGGCAGACGCTGTTCCCGATCTCTCTAGACTTTCTGCTCTGAAATCACCCCCTTAACAAACGCGGCCAGTGTGGAGAGGGCGCAGAGCTCTCGCCACAGCCTAAAAAGGACTGGTTCATCTGCATGGTGCTTGGGAAGTGTTGCAGGGGCTGCATTCTCCCTGTGCCCTGGCGAAACTAGAAGGGCTCGGGTCCTTATTTCCATTTCTCAACAAGAAGAAACAGAAGCCCAGAGCTAAAGTGAACTTGGCTCAGTCTAAAGAGCGTGCAAGCCAGGTCTTAGGACGGCAATCTGATTCCAGCAACCCCAGTGACCAACCCATTTTTCACCTGCATCTGTCTTCTTCTAAATTTTTTTTTAAATTTCTTTTCATTTGTATTTTTTGAAAAGCATACACACTAAGAGAAGACAGACAGATCTCTCATCCATTGGTTCAGTCCCTAAATGCTTCAACAGCCAGGGCAGGGGCAGGCAGAAGCCAGGAGCCTGGAGCTCCATCTGGGTCTCCCAGGTTGGTGGTAAGATTCCAAGTATTTGAGTCACCGCCTGCTGCCTCCCAGGGTGTGCATTAGCAGGAAGCCGGAATCAGAAGCAGAGCCAGGACTTGACCCAGGCGCTCCGATGTGGGATGCAGGCGTTCCAAGCAGCATCTTAGCTGCTGTACCCAGGGTCCACCCCTCCACCTGTCTCTCTATTAAGCCACAGGCTTTTAGGGGGAAAAACATCCTATTTCCGTCCTGGGTGAGATATTCAAAGTAAAAGTTTTACTGATTATTGATATAATGAAGACATTAGAAGAAAGAAATGAAATGATGACAGGGAAGAAAGACTATGCATTCAAATGTCCCTTCAAAGATGGCAGATGGATGGAGGAGAGGCTGTTGACATCACCAGCCCGAATGGACCTACCAGCCCGAATGGACCTGCCAGGCACAAAGGACAGCTCAGAGTCTTAAAGGAGACCACACAAATTCCCAATTTCACACAGTTGGTAGGTCCCAAAGGAAATCACCATGGAAACCAGTGGCACAAGTACTCCCCTCACCCCACCTCATCCCTGAGCCTGGGCCTTCCTGGCCCCAAAGACGGTGAGCCTCTGTTCAACAGTTTTAATTCATTAATAATTACAATAATGCTAACCAATATTTATTGAGAGCTTCATTGGTACTTTTCGTAGTTTTTCGTGAACTTCGGGGGTGGGCGTGTAGCCCAGCAGTGAAGACGTCTGCGCCCCGTATCGGAGTGCCTCGGTCCAGTTCCTGGCTCCGGCCCCCAATGCCAGCTTCCTACCAACGCCGATCCAGGGAGGCAGCAGGTGACGGTACAATAACTGGTTTCCTGGCACCCACCTGGGAAATTCTGCACTGAGTTCTTGGCTCTGGCCATTGAGGGCATTTCTGGGGTCAACCAGCAGATGGGAGATGGCTCCTTGTCTGACTCTCTCCATCTCTCTGCCTCTTAAATCCCTTTTTTTTAATGTTTAAATTAGTTTTGTCTTATAATAGCATAATGCTTGCTGAAGAAGTCAGAAGGTGACTGTGGCACGTAGACCTGGGGCTTGCCCTCTCGGTTCCAGAAGGCTGGTGCGGCTTCGCAGAGCGGGAGCAGAGTGAAGTCCTGCCTGACAGCCTGTGAGTTTAACTCAGACTGCTGCAGGCCCACAGGTACTCCCTGTAGAAGCGGTAGTTTAGCATAACACAGCTCTCCAAACAGGTTTAGGCTTTCTGCCTTGCAGACAGAAATGACTGTCAACATCTTTCAAAGATCAACTTCTCATTGTTCCCCAAATCTGACGTTTAATATTTTACTACCATACTTTTCTAGAATGTTTTTTAAAAATATTAACTAATTAACTTTCATCTAATTTAAAGGCTGGGGGGTGGGGGGAAGAATCTTCCATCCTTCTGCTGGTTCACTCCCCAGATGCCCACAACAGCCAAGACTGGGCCAGGCTGAAGCTAGCATCCAAGAACTCCACCTGGGTCACCCCCATAGGTTGCAGAGACCCAACTATTGGTTCACCATCTGCTGCCCTCCAGTGCGCATCAGCAGGAAGCTGGATTGGAAACGGAGCCATCAGGCCTTGAACCAGGCACTCCAGTGTGGCATACGGTGTTCTAAGCAACAGCTTAAGCTCCTGCACCACACACTGGCTCCTCTGTAATGTTAAGTTTCTTCCAGGTTGCCAATGAATGTGAAGAGCAAGCAAGGGCAGGTATTTAAAAACCCTTGACCTTCACATAAGATGGGTGTCCATCAGTGACACAGTAACAAGATGCTGTAGAGGAAGCTGCGCCCTACCTTGGACAGTGTGAATGGCTCGTCAGCAAACATACAGTGATGGGGAAAACACTCCCCGTTAGTGTCATCTGTCACACTGCCTCTGGCATCTTCTCTCCACATGCTGGTAATATTGGGAACCGCATTTAAGTGGAATGCAACATTTTCTGAACAAGGGATGAATCTTAACGCACACACACCCAGCGAAGTGGCATTGACTCAAGTCTACAGAAGGAGGTAACTTTGGCATCAGTGCTGGGGTCTGCCTGGGAAGGACCACGGTGCTGTGATGTGGAAAGAGACACAGGATGTGAATTCTTAGAACAGAAGAGGGGGATGATGCAGAAAGGGTTTGCCTTTTCTGATTGCTCAATGAGGTAGCAATCATCTTCCCACGTGGCACTCTGGCCCCGGGGACTGCCCCATGGCGTGGGACTCACGCTGGAAGCTAAAGATGACGGACATAAGACCTCGGTGACTTGGTGTCCCCAAGATCACAGCCCCAGTATGCCCAGCAAGGTCTCAGAGCTGCCCAGTCGTGAATCTCACATCCTGGCCAGGCCCTTCTCTTACAGAAAGCACACCCAGACATGCTAGTTTCTATCCTCACAAAAGATAAGCTCAACAAGATTGTGGCGCGCCACCGAGTGACCCTCCAGCACCAGCGCGCTAAAATGTTCTGTCTAGCAGAGCCACCTAGTGGTAGCAGGGAGCATTTATTTTTGAATTTCTCTCCTGTAAGAATCCAATCCCGATGAGCTGGGTTTTTGTTTCTTTTTCAAATTTTCCGTAATTCTCTCTTCCTTTTCTCCACACCACACGCACACACAGCCTATGAACTGTCACAGAGAACCGCACAGAGAAGGGGAGAGAGATGCCTCCACTCTGGTTTCCAACACCCCGCCCAATGCACACGTGCTGGGATCCATGGTCAAAAGGAGAAATACCTTGGGCTGTGGTTTGATTCCTTTTCTTCCTTCAGAGTAGGTAAACATTCATGGTCGGCTAGGACAGAAGGAAAGCATACTCATTGTTAGTCATTGGAATTCTCTCCTAGCACAGGTGAGACTCGCATTTCCCCCATCCCTGCAAAAAAAAACGGCCTCCCGGAGGGAGGTCCAGGGTTTCACACTGAATGCTGGCAAGGCCCTGGAGCCGGGAAAAGCAGCATAACACAGGGGTGCGCTCCTGCCCTGCGTCGGAAAGCGTGACCCCCGGTGTTGCTCTAAAAGCTAGATCCGTCATCTTTTGGAATATATGCTGCAACCAAACGGCTCCACCTGAGGTCCTGATGTTTGCACAGAGTGACTGCAGTCAGACCACACAATAGGAAGGGAGCAGGGGCAGGGGGAGTGGGGGGCGGGCGGCGGGGAGCAGCCCACCTTCCCAAAGTCAGCAGAGTTCTGTGACACCTCCAGCGACCTTCAAGGAAATAGGAAATCCACCTGATATATCTCACCTGTGTGTCCAAGTAACTCTGCTTCAGCTGTCAAGTGGGAGTGGCTGTCTAAAAATTATTTATTTGTGTATTTGAGAGACAGAAGGAGAGCTGGTTCGCTCCCCAAATGCCCAGGGCTAGGACTGGGTTGGGAAACTCCATCCAGGTGCTCCATGGGTGTGGGTGGCAAGAACCTATTTACTTGAGCCGTTACCACTGGCAGCCATGGTCTGGATTAGCAGGAAGCTGGAGGCAGGCATCAGAGCCGAGACTCAAACCCTGGTGCCCCCATGTGGAGCAGACTGACGCCTAGGCTAAACACCCAGTGCTTACCCGTGGCTTCTGCCCCCTTTCTAGGTTCAGTGAGAGTGACAGGATCCTGACTTCTGATACACAGAATCTCAGCACAAAGGGAAATACAGCAAAATATCAGAGAAGATTGTCTTTAGGCGGTGGATTCTTTTCTTCTTTCTACTATTTTTTTTTTTTGCATTTTCCGAATTCTACTACCTACATGTTATAGCTAAAAACAATAAATGGAAACTACTTGAAGATCTCTCTCAGAGATCTACCCCATCCTCATTCTTCCCGCAATATGAAAAACTGTTGGAAATTGTGCTAGTTGAGTGACTCTCATCTTTTGGAAAGTTCATCCTGATAAGCCTCTGGTACAGTAATTCTAGTAGCAGACTTCAGCATTTAAGAACTCCATTGCAGGCCCGGCGCTGTGGCACAGCAGGGTAAGCCGCTGCCATTGATGCCAGCTTCCCATATCAGAGCTCCAGTGCCAGTCCTTGGCTGCTCCACTTCCGATCCAGCTCCCTGCTAATGGCCTAGGAAATCGGTGGAAGATGACCTAAGTGCTTGGCCCCCAACTGGGAGACCGGATGAAGCTCCTGGATCCTGGCTTCTTATGGCCATTTGGGGAGTGAACCAGAGGATGGAAGGCCTCTCTCTCTCTCCCCATTCTCTCCCTCTCTCTCCCTCTTTCTCAACTCTGCCTCTCAAAGAAATAAATAGTGAGCCACGGCTCACTAGGCTAATCCTCCGCCTTGCGGCGCCGGCACACCGGGTTCTAGTCCCGGTCGGGGCACCGGATTCTGTCTGGTTGCCTCTCTTCCAGGCCAGCTCTCTGCTGTGGCCAGGGAGTGCAGTGGAGGATGGCCCAAGTGCTTGGGCCCTGCACCCCATGGGAGACCAGGATAAGTACCTGGCTCCTGCCATCGGATCTTAAAAGAACTTAATAAAATTAAATGCAAGTGATATTATATAAATAGATTTTAACAATTTAATCTGAGCATTAAAATAATTTATTGACTTTTAAAGGAATAAAAAAGAAAAAAGTACTGTCATTGAAAACACAAACCGCTGGTATATCTACAATGACTGCCAGATACCAATTGGAAATCGTTTTATTACCAACTTATGTTATCCCTGTCCAGTACAACTTTCTATATAGGATGAAAATGTTCTAATCTTAAATTCGTATTTATTTTCATTTTATTTGAAAGGCAGAGAGACAGACAGACAGACAGCTTCCATCTGCTAGTTCACTTTCCAAATGTCTACAAAGGCCAGGGATGAGCCAGTTGAGAGCCAGGAACCTGGAACTCAATCTGGTTCTCCCATATGGGCAGCAAGACCCCAAGAATTTGAGCCATCACCTGCTGCTTCCCAGGGCGTGCTTTAGCAGAAAGCTGGGATCACAGGCAGAGCCAGGACTCAAACCCAGACACTCTGACGTGGGATATGGGCATCGCAAGGGGCATAGGCCTGCCCCAGGGATAGAAATGTAGACTCCCACTACCCCTACTGCAGCCACGGCAACTGTGTCCTCCACCTGTGGCTACTACCACTCAATATTAATTAATTTAAATAGTCACATGGGGCTGGTATCTGTTACACTGGACAGCACAGATCTACATAAACTATATTTGATAAGGTTTTATAAACGTGCACAGAAATTCAAACAAGGGGCGTCAGCTGATGATTGCAATGAGGATCTAAGGATGGTCTGAGCCTAGTTTACTATCTGTACGCACAAGATCTAATGCGGGGACAGGCTCCGCTCAGCTGGGGGCATTAAGTACACGGTGGTTGCAGCCTTCTATGACAACAGAGGAAAGAAAAACACCCGCAGCTTACCACCTACCATTTCTATTCATGCTGACCATCCACTTATCAAGCTCTTCCATTTCTATTTCCATAACAGAGGGTGTGTCCTCTTCAAAAATGGGGCTGGGGAGAGACAGCAAAGAGCTCGCTGAAAGCACTGGGCGGGGGAGGGTGTTGGGTTTCCTGTGGGGACAGCAGTGACCATGGACTCTGGGGAAGACGCACTTGGCTCAGAGCCTGACACTCCGGGGCAGCCTCTGTGTGTGTGTGTGTGTGTGTGTGTGTGTGCTTGAGCTCTATGGGATACAAGGCAAACACTAAAACAGACCCACCCCTGACACTGACCTCAAAACGGGGCCCCCCAAGGGCCTGCGAGTGGGCCTAGAAGGGGACCCAGGGGACCGCGGCCTCCCAAGAGCAAAATCAAGTCTGTGAGGCTTGCACCTGGGCTCCTGCGGGCGTTGCTGCATTTAGCCTTTGAGCTTGCTGAATTTCACTTCTCCTTTCTGGGGGGTGGGTATTGGGGGGGGCAGGATGGGGTGGGGGTGGGGTCAGTGGCCCAGGTCCAAGCCACAGTCAAAGGGCTGCTCTGCTCCTGTCACCCGGTCCCCAGGCTTTGCCTACGCGGAGCAGTGGGGCTGTCCCCTTCAGAAATCCACGTGCTCGCTTGCCAGGGCTCAGAGCATAGTTGCAAACAGAAGCCCCGGTGAGGGGAGGAAGGACCACTTTCTCCAAACGTCAGGCGGTGTGGCTGTCACATGGCGTCACACCGGTGGAGGAAGCGAGCCACGATTCTAAATGGGGGGGGTGCAGTGGTGTGGGGTGATGAGTCACTGAACCAGAAAGCTCTTCGCTCCTGGGTAGTCCCTCTCTCTCTCTCTCTCCCCCTTCTCCTCTCCTCTACCTCTCCCTCCATCTCCCCCTCCCCTTCTCTCCCAGCCCCGCCCCTTCCTGCCATCCACTCGTTCCTCCGTGTCCCCTTCCTTCTCTCTCCACTCGCCCCTGGAGGTTCTGGGAGTGCGGCTGAAAGCTCTTCCCTGGCGGCCACCTTTCCCATCCGAAGAACTGAGCAGGCAGCCAGGGTCGGGACACAACTACCTGGGTGCTGGGAGTTGGTGGCAGCCAGAAAAGACTGTTGGGAACAGGACAACGAAATGAAGCGGCTGGCCCCCTCTCCTCTGCTCCCTGCTTCCCTGGGGACAGGGCCTGGGACCTGGGGCACATCTGCCCTTAGGCCCCGGGGTGGGGGGCAGGAGGGCCCTTGCAAGGTGTCCACAAGATCAGCTCCCCAGAGAGTCTTGTCCACAGCGGGCTGGGCGTGGAAGCAGAGGGGCAGCACTCACACTTTCATGTTTTCGCCTCCCAGTCCACCTAGAAGGGAGCAAGACGAAGTCCCTGTTAGCTTTGTTCACCTGTAACGACTTTTCATTTCAACTGTAACTCAACACCGAACATGAAATCTCCAAGTAAACTGCATTTAAAATTTGATTTTTATCTGTCTACCTGTTGATTGCTTTGGGAGGCAGACAGCCAGCTCCCATGCACTTCTTCACTCCCCAGTGCCCATGGCTACCCCGCAACTTGAGCCATCGCTGCTGCTTCCCAGGGCCGGTATTAGCGGGAAGCTGGAGTCAGGAGCTAGAGCCGGGTGTTGAATGCAGCTACTCTGATACGGGATGCGGGCGTCCAGCCGGGGACTTCATGGCCGTGCCGCTGCCCGCCCCTGCTTCCCGTCCCACGGGGCTGGTGGTCTGAGGGCGCTCAGTTCAGCTCACAGCTCATCCGCCTGAGCTTCTGACACCCTCGTGGAGCAGAAAAGCAGCAGTGAGGGAAAGCAGGCAAGGGTTAAACAGGGGGCCTTGCTCCGTGGCCTCCTTCAAAATGACGCTGCTGCTGCTTCGGCTCCTGCTGATGCAACATCCCAGCACCACCACCCCATCCCACTGTCCTGGAGTCGGATGTGGGCTGCTCCATCCAGTGCCCCCCCTGGGGCTCTCCTTCCCCCTGCTCCAGGCAATGCCTGGTCCCTCCCAGCCTCCAGGTCTGAGCTTAGCCACTCTTTGCTCAGGGGCCCCTCCCCACCTCCTGCTAGAGCCGGCCCACCCTTGCTAAGGTTTCCAGCCCCGCCTCTCGCCTGCATCTGTCAGAGTAGTGCCACAGTGACCCATCAATCAGGTTGTCTGCATTATTCCTTTTTCATAAAAAAAAAAAGAAAAGAAAGATTTATTTATTTGAAAGAGCTACTGGGAGAGAAGGAGAAAGAGTAAGAGAGAGAAAGAGATCTTCCATTCACTGGCTCACTCTGCAAATGGCTGGGGCTGGGCCAGACCAAAGCCAGGAGCCAGGAACGACATCAGGGTCTCTCACGTAGGTGCAGGGGCCATCTTTTGCTGTTTTCCGAGGCGCATTAGAGGGAGCTGGATGGGAAGTGGGGCCTCTGGGTCTCAAGCCGGCACCCATATGGGGTGCTGGCATTGCAGGCAGCGGCTTTATCCACCTTACCACACCCCCGGCCCTTGCATTATTTTATCTATCTCTCTCACTAGAACGGAACCCCCAAAGGGCACAGATTATGTCTATTACACCCAGGGTGGCAGCACCCTAGATCCAATCCCAGCGGCAAAGCACTTTGGCAAACACCTCATAAATGCAAGGGTACTTCAGAAAGGTCACGGGAAAATAGTATGGAAAGACAAATTTATTTTGGTGCTAAAAATTAAAATCCATGCATAGCTTTTTTTTTTCTTCATAGGATGCATTTTTCATGAACTTTTAAAAGACCCCCTGTATTTCCTGAATAACTGAACAGGTCATCGTGTTGATTACTGGAGTTAAGCTCATACCGGTGTTTTGGATTCTTCATCATCATCGTCATCATCATCATCACAGTGACTCTCCCAACAAGCCCACTGAGGGAACCACCGCCTGCAGGCACCTGCCACTGAGCTCCTCGCAGCCCAGAGCCCCTTGCAATTTCCTGTGGTTGGCAAGCTTGACTGGCACTACCGACCCAGGAGCACTGGGCAGAGAGGCAAGCTTCATGCCATCACTGCTCGCCTTGGAGGACTCTGGGTATGTCTGTGCCCTGCCCCCGGCTCCAAGCAGGAAGCTTCCTGCAGGTGCCCGACGCCTCAGAAAATTAGAATGGGGGAAGGGAGAGGACCTGCATCTTACAGCTCTTGTATGTGTATTTCTAATCAAAAAAGTACAGGCTCTCTCCTAAAGGGAGTGGACTATAAATACAGCGCCCACACAGTCGATCCTCCCTAGGGTGAAGAGCCCTGGTGCCTCGCTCCCTCCTCCTTCCTCTCCCTTGTGCCCTGCGTAATGACCCCCTTGTGAGCAAGTAGCTCACAGCCCCGCTGCTATGGGCACAGACTTATCTTTATAATCTGGGTTGCCCGCAGGCTTCGCAGCGAGCAGAAGCCAGCCCGCATGCAGATGATGGGAAGGTTTAAAACCCACGACAAAAGCACACAAAGCGAAGTGCCTGTAATCAGTGCTAAAACAGCAAAAAGCCTTCCCCGGCCTCATCTCCCCTGCTCCACGGCCATTACCCCCAGCCCAGCCGCCATGGCAACAGAAAACACACTGGGGAGAGCACAGAGCAGAGGATTAGAGCAGGAGGGAGACCAAATTACAGGTCGGCCGTCAGGCCCTGCCCACCCCACTCGGCCTGGCCTCTCTGTGACTAGCCAACTGCTCCACTGGCCCCACGCACACTTCCCGGGCATCCTTTCCTTCCACGCCCCCCCACCCACTTGGTCCTCCTCCGGCAGTTTCTGCGTGGCAGCCACTGAGCCTGACCAGACCCCACTGCCCGGCCTCTCTGTGCACCTGTCGGCAGGAATCCTGGGGTGGGGAGGGGCTCTGGACTCCCGAGGCTCTGACTTCCTCTGCACTGAGCAAGGGAGATCTCCCAGGAAGAGCCACAGAGAGGTTAAAGCAGTGGCTTCCTGCCAGCCCTTTTGCCTGCAGCTTTCCCGCATCTGCAGGAGGCACTTAACACATATTAAATAGTAACAACCACAAATGTAGTGCCTGGAGGCCCAGGAAGAAGGATCTGCAACGTTAAGTGATTACCCAGCTGCTTCCCTTCCCCTGGACAGCAGGGGAGGGCTTGTGGTGCAGTGGTTAGGATGCTGTTCGGGGTACCCACGTTCTACAGTGGGGTTTCTGGGTTCCACACCTCAGACTCAGCTCCCTGCTAACGTGCACCCTGGGAGGCAACAGGCGATGGCTCAAGTTTTGGGGGCCCTGCCACACACATGGGAGACTTGGATGGGGTTCTTGGCCCCTGGCTTTGGCCTGGTCCAGCTCTGACTGTTGTGGGCATTTGGGGAGTGAACCAGTAGATGGAAGATGACTCTTTTTCTCTCCCCATTTTTCAAATAAAATGAAAGTAAATAGTTTAAGGTTGGCTTTAAATTACAATGAAAAGATAAAAAAAACAACAACAAACAACTTAAAAAAAAAGAAGAGTGTAAGTAAACCAAATGCCCCTGTGTTGGGGGTCGGGGAAGGCAATTTCTATCAGCCACAGGTCTTTCTGGAAGTATTGGCCAGTCCTCCCCCGTTGTCAAGTTCAGGCCTGTTTCCTGTTGTAGAAGAACTGACAGGGCTCTCTTCAGGCGAAAGTGAAACCACCTCTCTTTCTAACTCTCCCAGGAGCACTGTGTGTGCAGGTACCCATGCCCTCCCACAAAGCTCCCACGTGCCCTCCCTTCCAGAACCTTCCAAGCAAAATGCTGCTGTGGCTTTATTTTTGCCCAAAAAGGAAATTACATTTCAATCAAATCCTTGTTAATTCCAATACTCTGCTCTTATTGTCTCGCACTATCCTGTCAAAGCTGAATGGATGGGCTTGGGGGGACACTGGCTGAGAACCTTTCAGCATCCAGTCTGTCTGAACAGATATTTCAATCAGTGACTAGTAAAAGAAAAATTCAGAAGAAGCTTTCCTTAGCAAAAAAAAAAAAAAATTTTTTTGACAGGCAGAGTGGACAGTGAGAGAGAGAGACAGAGAGAAAGGTCTTCCTTTGCCATTGGTTCACTCCCCAATGGCCGCTGCGGCCAGTGCACTGCGCTGATCCGAAGGCAGGAGCCAGGTGCTTCTCCTGGTCTCCCATGGGGTGCAGGGCCCAAGCACTTTGGCCATCCTCCACTGCACTCCCAGGCCACAGCAGAGAGCTGGACTGGAAGAGGAGCAACCAGGACAGAATCCGGCACCCCAACTGGGACTAGAACCTGGAGTGCCAGCGCCACAGGCGGAGGATTAGCCTAGTGAACCACGGCGCCAGCCAAGCAAAAACTTTTGTAATAGTTATTTTGAAATTCTTTTCCTATGTGGTGTTTTCTCCAAATGAGGCATATTTTAACTAAGAACCACGCATCTATTTATAGTAGGGATAATATGCAGACTTGGTTTTTACCGAGAGTAGGTTTTCTTTAACACACATCCTACAGGAGATGTTGACTTCAAGGCTAAGACACCTGCATCCCGTATCGAAGTACCTGGGTTTGAGTCTGGCTCCTGCCAACGCAGATCCTGGGAGGCGGCAGTGATGATTCAAGAAATTGGGTTCCTGCTACCACGTGGAAGATCTGAATTGCATTTCTGGCTCCTGGCTTTGGCCCTAGCCATTGTGGGCATCTGGAGAGTGAACCAGTGGCTGTTGCTTTCTCTCTCTGTACATCTCCCTCTCTTTCTGTTTCTTTCTTTCTTTCTTTCTTTCTTTCTTTCTTTCTTTCTTTCTTTCTTTCTTTTTTTTTTTTTTTTACAGGCTGAGTGGACAGTGAGAGAGAGAGACAGAGAGAAAGGTCTTCCTTTTGCCGTTGGTTCACCCTCCAATGGCCGCCGCGGCCGGCGCGCTGCGGCCGGTGCACCGCGCTGATCCGGTGGCAGGAGCCAGGAGCCAGGTGCTTTTCCTGGTCTCCCATGGGGTGCAGGGCCCAAGCACCTGGGCCATCCTCCACTGCACTCCCTGGCCACAGCAGAGAGCTGGCCTGGAAGAGGGGCAACTGGGACAGAACCCGGCGCCCCAACCGGGACTAGAACCCGGTGTGCCGGCACCGCAAGGCGGAGGATTAGCCTAGTGAGCCGCGGTGCCGGCTTTTTCTGTTTCTCTGCTTCCCAAATAAACATTTTAAAAATCCTAGTCTTCTTCATTAACTCATTCATGCCACAAACATGTACAGAGCAGCTCGTGCAGACTGGGTTGAAAGTCACTTAGCACTTATAATGTGCCAGACAATCCATTTAATTCTTACAACTCTGGGGGAAGGTATTGAATTTACTGATCTACAGATGGAGCTGGGTGAAGGTCACAGCCGAGCAAGTGTCAAAGCCAACCACAGTCTGAACTGTCAGCCCCAATACCACGCTGTCAAACCAGACAAATGAGACCAGTTCTTGTTTCTTAGACTCCCTAACACAGTAGGAAAGAAAGACAGAAAAAGAAAAGAAAGACAAGGGGCTGATGCTGTGTGGTGCAGTGGGTTCGGCCGCTGCTTGCAACCCTGGCATCCCATATCTGGGTGCCAATTCGAGTCCCGGCTGTTCCACTTCTGATCCAGCTCCCTACTAATGCACCTGGGAAGGCAGCAGAAGATGGCCCAAGTGCTTGTGCCCCTGCTGCCCATGTGGGAGACCTGGGTGGTGTTCCCGGCTCCTGGTTTCAGTCTGATCCAGCCTCGGCTGTTGTGGCCATTTGGGGAATGAACCAGGAGGTGGAAGATCTCTCTGTATCTGTCTTCCCTCCCCCTCTCTGCAACTCTGCCTTTCAAATGAACAAAACTGAAAGAAAAGACAAATCACCAACTTGGGAAAATGTGAAGACTGAACAGCAGGTGTCAGAATTTGCTTTGGGGGCATGGAAGTGATGACCAGTTTTGCCTGGAGAGGGATTCCAAGGCTTCCTACAAACTTTAGAACTGGACACTGCAGAACAGGGTGGAAGTTTGCCAAGCTGACAAAAAGAGAATGCCAGGCAGAAACATGAGTACCCGCCAGGCACAGAGGCATTCTGAAAGTCACATCATGCTCTGGGAGCCTCTGGCATGGCGCCCGTGTAGGGTACAGGTGCCACAGCTAAGGCTTAGGCTGCTTATCTCTTGTAAATGATCTTGAACCCAGAGACTTCCACACGGAGCTCACTGAAAACTCGACTTGTGGATGTGAAATCTAAGAGGGTCACCATCTAACTGGGCACCTCCAAACATCCCCACCCCTTGCTCCCTTAGGTAAGGCAAGTTGGGGCGGGGGTGGAGGGGGCTACGGTTTGGGGCAGGAAATTCTTATTTTCCCAGAAATCAAAAAAAATGGTAGGGGGCAGCGCTGTAGCATAGCGAGTAAAGCTGCCACCTGCAGTGCTGGCATCCTATATGGGCACCAATTTGAGTCCCAGCATCCTATATGGGCGCCGATTCAAGTCCTGGCTGCTCCAGCTCTCTGCTGTGGCCTGGGAAAGCAGTGGAAGATGGCCCAAGTCCTTGGGCCCCTGCACCTGTGTGGGGGACCCAGAAGAAGCTCCTGGCTCCTGGCTTCAGATCAGCGCAACTCTGACCATTGGAGCTAACTAGGGAATGAACCAGCAGATGGAAGACCTCTCTCTCTCTCTCTGTCCCACTCTCTCTGTCTCTCTCTCTCTCTCTGCCTCTGCCTCTTTGTAACTCTTGCCTTTCAAATAAATAAATAAATATTTTTTTAAAAAATGGGGATTACTTGCAAAGGAGCTTCCACATGACCGCTGTGACTAGAAAGCCATGGAATCTCAGGTGTGGACAACCCTGCATCTCCTAGTCCCTTGGTATCTATTTTATCAGCCCGGTCAGGAAAGGAAATACTCCAGTGCTTCCCCCCGGATCACACAGGTCTCACGTGCTGGTACAAGGATAGTGAGCCAGGTACTCAGGCCAAGGGCATGATCTCAAAACCATGGTGCCTTTAGTGGGCATAGCATACAGTGAGCTTTGCATACTAGGACAAATATGTATCTTATCAGAGGCGTCCTTAGGTCCTGAGTAAGTTTTGGGATGAATGACTATAAAAGCTTCCACATGCAAATTAACCAGAGGTAATCTGCCCAGCCCCGTCTGCTGGAGACCTAGAATTGTGCTGAAAGCTAGCGTTGGATGCTCCTGGAATAACTGAAGATGGTCTCAGAGAGTGGCCCTGACCTTGGGGACCTCCTGTCAGATGGGCTTCAGGCTGACTGATGTCCACAATCTTCAGCAAGTTAGAAATTTCATTACAAAAGGATAGCTTCACTGAGAACAATGTTTTATTCGACTCAGATTTTCCAAAATCAAATAGGGATGCGGGGTGGGGGACAAAACAGTATCTGTGGTGGAGGTGTAGCTGGAAAGACCCACACTTGTGCGAGGACCTCTGGGGAACTGACTTTCCGTCCTTAACCCCAGTCTGACCCACAGCTTCATCAGCCTGGCCCTGCTGGTGATGGGAAACATCACACCGGCCAAGAGGCCACGGTCATACAGGACACGCAGCTGGACCGGGTACAAAGATGGCAGCAGTATGTTGTAAATTGCAGTTTAGGCTGAAAACATCTCTCTTTTTTTAACTTTAAAGAAAGGAATATGGTATTATTAACCTCTGGAAAACCTCATTGAAACAACTCATTTATCGCTTACTATCCTATGTAGTCCTTGTTGTTTAACTCTTTTTAAAACGTTTTTATGGTTTTCATTTTATTTGAAATGCAGAAAGTGAGAGGGAGAGAGTCAGACAGACAGACAGAGATCTTCCAGCTACTGGTTGACTCCTAAAATGCCAACAACAGCCAGGGCTGGGACAGGCCAAAGCCAGGAGCTAGGAATTCACTGACGCTCCCACATGGCTGGCAGGGACCCAACCACTTAATCCATCACCTGCCACCTCTCAGGGTTTGCATTAGCTGGAAGCTGGAATCAGAAGTGGAGCTGGGGCTCAAACTAAAACACTTTGACAAGGGATGTGGGTGTCCCAAGCTGAGTCTTAACCACTGTGCCAAACATTTGCCTTGTGTTGTGTAACTGTAACTCAGTTCCTTCTTCCAGCCCATCCCCAACTCTAAGCAGGTGCTACGGTGATACTCACACGTCTGTAGAGCATCCTGAGATCCTTGGCTAGAAGGCTCTGGGTGGAAGAATAGAGTTTTGTGTTACTGCTTGTTCATTCACACACGAGCAAGTGTCTGGAAATGGATAGATGACAAATATTTACCTTGCTTAGCTCCTTTTCTTTTATAGACTATTACAAGGGATACCACTAACAAAAGTAGGAGGGCCAACAAAACCAATGGGATCAAGACCATGAAAATAAGATCTAACTGATTTTCATCCCCAGCCACGTGGGTCAGATTCCTATCTGTGGTTAGGGAATCTGTGGTCGCCGCGTCCAAGGTGGTAGGAACAGCCTCTTCCGTTGTTCCTCTGTCTTCCCAGGCCATGTCTCCAGACTGCTCTGATTCCTCACGATCAGCTGTGGGAAGACACACAAGACTGAGATGGCCATGGACACGAAGCTGGGATGGTTATGTTTTCAGTGGTTTTCACATTAGTCCTAGGTGCACTCAGTCATCAACCTGATCCACTGTACCTGGCGCTCAGTTCCCTGGGACAGGGAGTATTGATTTAACATTGAATGGGGCTCCAGCTGGGAGTATATCGAACATGGACTCAGAGCCCGGGGTTCAACTCCCACAAATGCAGCCAGTTTAGCCTTGACCGGACGCTGTAGGAGTGCTGAGGCAAAGGGCATAAAGGCACTGTCTACGTCAAGGGCAACTTCCCCAGCTGAGCTCTGTGGTATTCTGGGGCTTCTCCTGCAGGGTGTCACTATTGTAATGAAATTCCTCAACACATTGACATTCACATGACTAAAGTCGGGTGGTGTAAAGGAAGGCAGCCTGTGCCCTACTCTTGACCAGAAGGTTGGCTATCGATGGAAAATAACTCTTTGAAAGTGGAGTGACTGCTCAGAGGTCAGGGTCAGGTCAGCGTCCTGCACGGAACCAGTCTGCTTCTGAGGTCCGCTGGCGAATCCTCCTGCATTCTGAATGCAAAGGGGAATCCACAAGGGGCAGCTCCCTTGGCCACCAGGAAAACGCTACCCATATGTAAACTTATTTAATAAGATGTATCTGGGAAGATTCCCCATGATCGAGCGATAAGCAAATGCACTTTGAATATTGATACCATCCCGCTCCTCCTCACAGGCTGGGGAGACCGTGTGGGCTGGATGACTGGGAGAAGCCTTTGCTTGCCTGCGTAGGCTGCGGTCATGGTCGGGTGAGTTAGGGTCTTTGTCCCAGCGTGATGTTGCGCTGCCTGCCCTGCAGATGGGGCCCACTCAGCAGTGCCCCCTGTACGTTTAGGCTACGGAACTCACATTAAATTCTTTCCAAGGGGCAAGGCGCCGTGCACATGGAGAAGTTGGCTGCTGTGAGCCACACCATTCCCATAGGTCAGGCTGTGGCTCTGTGCAGTGACAAGGTCGGACACGGCAGAGTTCAGTTCAATATTTTACCTATCTTACGACTGCGTGACCACGGACTCCTCTGATTCAGATTAAAACCACACAAATATTGAGCACTGTTAAGGGCTGAATGTTTGTGCATGCGTGCACACACACACATGCTTCGGGTTGAAGCCCTAATCCCGGTGTGATGGTATTTAGGAGGAGAGCCTTGGGGTAGTACTGCAGTGTGGAGGACCCCGTGGTAGGGCTACTGTCCTGACAAGAAGGGGAGAGGAGCGGCCATGGTGGCACAGCACGGCGGCAGGGGAAGGCAGGGATCCCTCGGGACCCCTCCTCGTCAAAGCCGCCCACTTCCAGAACCACCGGCACTGCTGGCTCGTAACCCTGGCAACAGGGGGCTGGGGCGGCTGAGGAGGAAGTGCTGCAAAGTGCAGCTGGTGGTCATGACCTTCACTCCCTGCGATCAGTTCTTCCAGACCTTCCTCCAATATCCACGGACTCCCTCACACCACCCGTTCACACACGCACAACACACACACCCACACACACTAACACACATCCACACACATGTTCACACTCATACACTCACAACACACTAACACACACACTCACAATCACACACACAACAGTCACACACACATATACTCACACACATCCACACACATTAACATATACATACACAGTCACACATGCTCACATACTCATACACTCACACTTGCACACTCACACCCACATCCCAACCACCTCCACACACATGCACCCACTCACATCCACACACACAGCCACACTACACAGCCACACACACACTCTCACACACACACACTGACACACAGCCACACAACATACACAGCCACACACAGCCATATACACACTCACACATACACACCCTCTCACACTTACCCCCTCACCCTCACATTCACACACTCACATACCCCCACACACCTACACACTCATACACTCACACACACATCCACATACACTAACATGCACATTCACACATACACACCCACTAACCCTTTCTCACAAACACTCCCCACACGCATACACACATACACACATTATCACACACTCACACCCCCACACACCCCTACACATTCATACATTCACACATCCACACATGCTCACATGCGCACTCATACACACTCTCACACCCCCACACACTCACATATACACACGTGCACATACATACACACTCATGCCCACACACCCAACCACACACACATGTATCCACTCACACATAGCCACACAACATACACACACCTTCACACACTAACATGTACACTCACAGTCTCACACACCCCGCACACTCACACCCATACACACTCACTCATACACACATGCACTCACACAATACACACACACCACACACACACACACATACACTTCATTGGTATTCCCTCCCTCTCTCTCTGCTGGAGTTTCTATTTCAGGCTGAATTTATTGACAATTTACTACAGACGAACCTCTGTGCTGGACAGATTATCTCATTTGTCCTCACTGCTTTTTCTAGATCAACCCTGGGGCAAAGACACATATCCAAGATCCCAGCGCTAACAGGGAGGAGGAAGGATTTACAGGCTGGGCTCTTGGCTGTCCCAGCCTCCAGAACCAGCAGCTAGGTCCGCCTCCATTCTCTGTGCATTACCAGGCTGCGGGATTTCCGTCCTCACTACAGAAAACGGACTTGCAGCAGCAGCAGCAGCACAGCGTTTAACCTCACACCGTACTCTGCCTCCAGCCAGGCAGGAGAGTCATACATGCAGAGCACGGGGTTTGGCCGTAAAGGGGAGAGCAATCAAGGGACCCTCACGTGCTTGCCCTCAGCTACACAGAGGAAGGGAGGTAGGGGGTCCCAGGCACCTCCCATTGAGGCTCTCGCTGGGGTTCCAGTGGCTCTGCGTGGAAAGGGAGCGAAGTTTCCAGAACACTCAGCCCTCTGAGTCACCGCTTGACCCGTGCTCCAGGAGAAGAGAAAATAGGAAAGGAAACAAGCAAGGCGGAATGATGAGGGTGTTTAGACCATTGGGATGAACAGAAAGAAGGGCACCAGGTGGCTGGGGCTACGGACATTTATTTCTCAGCTGGAAACAACGCTGGCCACGGGTGGCCCTTGGTGGCGCCGGGGAGTTAAAGGGGACAACCCCTCCACAGTACCCCTCACACACACCCTCACGTATGGTTTCTACATTAAGCCTCGTACTCTCTCAGATTCTCCAGGGACCTATTTAAATAAAAGAGAATCAAGGTGCTCAATCTCAATCTCTCTCTCTCTCTCTTTCTGTGTGTGTTTTACTTACTCTGCAAACCTTCATCTCCAGAGAATCCTATCACAATTGCCTGCTCCCTGCCCCCCCCATCTCCAACTCCACGATAACCCGGAAATAGTAAGTCATAGTAACTGGCACCTACCAGGTGCTTAGCTGATTCCAGGTACTGGGATAAACACGCGAGGTCTAACTAGATCTTCACAGTAACTTTCCTGTCCACATTCTCCAGCTGCAGAACCTGGCTCTAGGGTGTTGTTCCCGAGGGAAATACCAGCCTTTGTGTTCAGTCTCACCGACACGTGGGGCTCCCAGCTGCATCCCCCCAAGCGTGGTCGCCCAGTGAGGACCCTGGCCCTGGGTCTGTCGCGGAGGCTTTGGACAAACCACCCATCCTCCAATGGCTTAATGCGCTCACAGGCGCCACTGAGGAGGGATCACCAAGGTTCTGTCTATTTCCACATCTCTCTGTGGGTTCCGCAGCGCCGACCTTGCTTTAATGAACTTCCTGGCGAGGTGATACGCCCAGGGACAGGCTCAGAGAGGAAGTTTCATTGCTAGCCTTGCCCCAGACCACTCTCTCTGCTGCCTTCCAGAGAACTCGGTGCACAAACGAGGCTCCCTATTGCTTCCTGTTTGCCTTTTTTTTTTTACAGGCAGAGTGGACAGTGAGAGAGAGAGACAGAGAGAAAGGTCTTCCTTTGCCGTTGGTTCACCCTCCAATGGCCGCCGCGGCCGGCGCGCTGCAGCCGGTGCACCGCGCTGATCCAATGGCAGGAGCCAGGAGCCAGGTGCTTCTCCTGGTCTCCCATGGGGTGCAGGGCCCAAGCACTTGGGCCATCCTCCACTGCACTCCCTGGCCACAGCAGAGAGCTGGCCTGGAAGAGGGGCAACCAGGACAGAATCCGGCGCCCCGACCGGGACTAGAACCCGGTGTGCCGGCGCCGCTAGGCGGAGGATTAGCCTAGTGAGCCGCGGCGCTGGCGAGCTGTTTGCCTTTTTTAATAACACAAACAATAACACAAACAAAACTCATATATGGTTCTTGCCCTTCCTTTTGTCACTATTCCACCTCGAGCACCTCACACGGCTGTGTATAGACAGCTGTCCCCGCTCCACCGCGCCACTGTTTAGCTCCATCCCTGTTGATGGAGGTTTAGCTTGTCTCTTGTATTTCCAGAGCGTGGCAGCAAGCATCCCTGCTCACGCTTCGGTTTCCCAGGGGAACGCGGTCCGGAGGGCGGGGCCGCCCTGACAGCTCTTGGTCCTAAGCGGAGGAGAGACGGCCGTGACACCGTCCTCTGTCTGGCCAGATAACGCCCTCTACTGTTTCATAACCCCGCCCCAGGCACCTGGACTTCCTGGCCCCCGGACCGCAAGCTAAGTAAACCCCCATTTTTTACGAATCAGCCACTCGGAGGGATTCAGTTACCGCTCCAGAAATTGGACGAAGCCAGGGAAGTAGCAAGCACTGGGAATCAGCCCCAAGAGTTTTTGCAAAGATCATCAAAAGCGGTGCTGGAAAACCAGGGTGGACCACTGCATCCGACCAGTACCCAGGAGTGGATCAGCAGGGCACAGGGGCGCGCCAGGAGTGGAGAGAATCAAGGTGGAACCAGAGAAGCCACAGGTCACAAAAGCAGAGACGTGGGCGGAGACAGCAAAGGCCGTGGAGGGGGCCTTTGCGGAAGCTCGGTAGCTGCTCCTCCCCAGGCCTGGGCGCCAATAGCAACACCT